GGCAGACCTCTCCTGACCAGCCTGCTGCTCCCCTCAGCAGTGTACTTCATCATTATGCCTGTTCTGCTTCCCACTCTGTCTATGAATCCTCTCACTACCCCTTCATCTCTGGCTTGTATCTCAGTTTTGTATGCATAAATAAATAAATCTTTAAAAAACAACAACAACAAAGTAGGGGTAGGCCCTGGAAAGCTGTGTAGTTTGTATAGTGTATAATGGAAGAGCAACTCAAGAATAGGAGGCATCAGAGTCTGCATGGAAAATTGAATGAAGATGAAGAAAGGAGAATCTGAGGCGTAAGCTCCTCATTCTTTAGTACCTCTCTTAGCTAAATATATTAGCTTGAGATACAACTTTGGGCAGGCATGGTATTACTAAAGTGCTGTCCCAGTGGCAGACTATCTGAGCAAATGACTATGAATGGAGCATTATGATTTAGCAGATGCTTGAAGAATCCAGACAAAAAAAGCTTTGAGACTAGGAAGTAAGGTCTATAAAATTAGTCTTCATTTGATCAGTTAGTTTTTTAACTTTTGATATAATTCTTTCTTTATATTTCCAAAATAATGTATCTAGAATTAATTACATATTTCTTCATACATATAAGTAAAATATGACTTCTCCATTCTAGAAAGCTTTGACATAAAAGTACACTGTTTCTTCCATTGATTTGTTTTTATTTTATCTTACTATTTTTTAAAAGACTTTATTTGTTTATGCATGCTCAACTGGGGTACAGGCCAGAGGTGCCGGGGATGAGAAGATTCACTAGAAACAGAGTGGGGAGCAGAACAGGCAGATTTTCTGAAATACACTGCTGAGGGGAGCAGCGGGCGGGTCAGGAGAGGTCTGCCGCGCCATGTGGACTCCTCCCGGGCAGGAGGGATTCAAAGTCATGCGGTAGTGGCTTTAGCTTCTTAGTGCTGTGCTTTAACCCACTGCACCACCAGGGAGGGCCCACACTTGAGTATTTTTATAGGAACCTGACAGAACTTATTTTTGATGAAATTTAAAATGATATAAAATATTTGATTGTTACTGATTTAGAAATCTGTGTGCACCACTATTCCTGTTATCTATGTATCTTTGTATTCAGTTGAAAAACAAACATCTTACAGTGCTACACTTAATTTAACATAAAGAAAAAAAAACAGGCACTCATAACTGACACTTTCTTTGAGGTTCAAAATA